GCCACACCTACCCATTCACACCCTGGTGGCAGAGGGTGCTGTGTAAAGCTTCCATCAGTATTAACTAATCCCATTCATACACATTTATACACCGCTGACGAAACAGTTGGAGCAATTTGGGATTAAGTGTCTTGCTCAGGGACAGATCATACATGTGGACGTAGGAGCTTGGGATCTAACCCCCAACCTATAGGTTGAGAGACGACCAACTCTAGCAACTGAGCCAGCCGCCAAATAAAAGCAGCATTTCGTTCAAACAAAGTGAAATGGACTGAAATACATATTTGTAAGGACATATGAATAAATAAAAGTAATTTAACGGCCAAAGGAAAAAAGTTAGAATAAAATAGGTAGACAGATAAATAAATCAACTGAACCTCACACACATCTGCAGGGGTTGTTGTAAACAGCATGTCACAGCTCTCACCCACCCTCACTGCTCTCACCCATTTCAGATCTGATGCAGCACCAGCAGACTCTGGATATGGCCTTACAGCTACCTTCTCCACTGGCAGAGATGAATGCAGCTCAGTGGGAGTTGTGCCCCCCTGGGTATTTAGGGCCCACCCTGGTGGGTCTGACGGTAACGGCGGGGCCAGGGCCCTGTTACCGACACCGGTGATTATTTACCAGGCCTGGGTCTCTGTAGGAACCAGGTGGTGATTCATTCTGAAGGGGGGCTGATGATCACTCTTCCAATGAGAGTAATTAATATAATGAAGAGCTACTGAGCATGTGCAGTAGTGTGTGATGAATAGAGTATGCAGGGTGCAGTTACTCACAGGTGACAAGAGGGTATGTGGGGGGTATTATAAGGAGGTGTGGTGTAAAAAATAAAAAAAAAAGCATCAGGAGAAAGTAGACAAGAGATAGGAAAGTATTCATGAGTGTTGGTTTGCATACAGCAAAAGTATTTTGTGATATTTCCCACAAAACATTTGAGCTAAAGCATGCTAGTGCTAAAAACGAATTTGTTTGCCAATGCATTAAACCAAATGTTCATGTTTAGATGTTTAAAAATAAAACAGAGAATTTAGCTGTTATTAAAGTACATACGTTCTGAAAATAAGTTCAAAAGACACCAATTTTAAGCAATCTAATGAATTCTATTCAAAGCAGCATATTTTCAATCAAAACTAGACTAGGTAACCTTTTAGATAATCTGTTTTATTAGCACAGCATGTACACAATCAAATAAGACCATCAATCAATCAATCTTTATTAGTATAGCACCAATTCATAACAAGTGTTGTTTTTAAGACACTTCACAAAAAGAGAAGGTTTAGACCTTGTTTTTTTTTTAAATTATTTACAAAGACACAACATTAATCCACCATGAGCACAACACTATAGCAACATTTAGCAAAGTTACAGCAGCAAGGAAAAAATTGACTTTAAGAGGCAGAAATCTCGTGCAGAACCAGACTCATGTTGAACAGCCATCTGCTGAAACTGTGTAGAGCTTGGAACGTGGACAGACGAGCAGAGATGAATAAAGACGAGCAAGAGATGGATAAAGACAAAGTCAACAATGAAGATGAATAAGATAGATTTAAATCAGCAATGTCAGTAATAATGGTAAAAGTTTGTGTAGTAACAGCTTAGTCGTAATAGACTGATCAGCCTTATATATGAATATTAGCAACAGGAGCTCGCAGAAAGATGTGGTTAGTAACTTAAATGGTACGTGAAGATTTACAGATATGATGTGAATGCATAGAGAGAAAGAGTCAGACAGGAGCTCAGTGTGCCAGGTCCCCCTGAGCCAGCCCTGACTATAACTTTATCAAAAAGGAACGTTTTAAGCTTACTCTTACAAGTAGAGAGGGTGTCTGCAGGACCCTCACTGGTATATTATTCCAAAGGACAGGGGCCTGAAAACTGAAGGCTCTGCCTCCCATAGTACATTTAGAGACTGTTGGAACCACAAGCAGGCCGGCATTCTGGGAGTGTGATATCCTAGTGGGGTAATATGGCACTAATAAAATATTCACACTCTTCTAAAAGTCACCTTCCAGCATACACTCTACTTTTCAGTAAATCTTCCTATTTCAGATATTTATGTTTGGACAAATGAATTGGGTTCACATTCAAATTAATTTCTTAAACAAAGGAAATTGTGATCTAACTCCACATGTCCAGCTTGCAGCAAGTTAAAGCTTTAGTGGAAGTGAGTGAAAACAAAATAGCATGAAAAGACAAGCAGGTGAAAACAGATGGGAGTCCTACGCCCTGAAATGTTGAAACAAGGTGTTTAGATGTAACGTCTGGATGCTTCACAACTCACTATAGGCTACCTTCTTAGATATTCAAAGTGGTTCTTATAGTTATAATAAGCTGCTGTTATGTTCATCACTGTCGTCCTGACGCGTTATGTGCCGCAACAGAGTCATCTTCACTAATGAAACCTAAGCGGAGTCGATGACTCAGGATGGGGGGAATGTTGTCTACAAAACAAGAAGAAGACTTGTGTGGGTGTTGTGATGATGTGCAGACGCCGTGGGTGTTGATTCGTCTCAAACTAAACGGCTTTACTCTTATTGGTGGGTTCTGGTAAAAGATATCAAGGCCACATTACTAAACAATGAGACAGTGGCTCGTTACGCACCACCAGGCAAGCTATTATACCTGCTAGATTCCAGCCACTAATTTAGCCACATGCCACTTAGCATGCGTTTGATATGAATCACGGGGGGCTTAGAGGAGCCCCCCTCACCCCCGTCCCTGCACTGTGACCCCGTCGCTCTCACTTCCTTAAGGAGCAAGTCATTAAACAGCCAAGAGGATCCACCAGCAGTTATAATGGGGAAATAATGAACGCTGTTGCCTCTGGTATTTATCACAGCAGCAATGCTTAGAGCCAAGGCTTTTTTATTCTCTAAATGGCGGGCAGGAGGAGGGGGGGTGGTGGGGTCTACCAGGTGGGCAATTAACTTAAAAGTATGAGAAAAAGCAGCAGAAATTGGAGAGATACAATAGCTGATCATCTGCAAATAATGACACACTTCGGTTTGGTATGGGAGTTTCTACTCATGTCTATATTCAGGAAATGGGTAGTTTGCTCCAAGAAAAAGTATTAATAGTAATAATATTCTCATAGATCTGTCTTTGTAAGATTATTGTTTGAATCCAACATAAGCAGCAAAAGTCTTCCATCAGACAGTGAACTCCTGCTGACACATCAGAATGGTTTCGTATCCTGATGTGGACCCAATTCAGTGTGGTGTGTCTGCTGTCCCGCCACTGGCTGCCCGGATGAGAGGGTGAGGCCCTCCGGCTCAGACCGGCTGGCTCGGGACTCGGTCGGTCCTTCAGCTGCTTGTATCCCCTTCAGACGTCAGCGCAGGCTGGTTATACCGAGGCTGCTTTACAGCTTGCTTTCATGTGTCCTTTAATGAGGAAACCGCCGGCTCAGCAGCCTGCTATAAAACACAGGCAAATTAAAACACCCAAATATGAATCAGTCAACTGCCTAATTCAGCAGACCAGAGCAGAGGCGTAGCTCATGTTTAGCGAGACCTCAAGAGGATTAGAGTGTCTGCAAAGGTAAAGATGGAGTTGTTGACTCATCCTGAAAGATTTCTCATTGGAAGAAATATGTGATGTTTCTTCTTCATAGGAACTTAAATGTAGGCCTACTTCTCTTTTTATAATCATATTAAGATAATCCTCAAGCAAAAGGGCAAGTGCATTCTTCCCAAAGAACAATAACAAAGTGAGTCACAAGCCCACGACACAACCCCTGCCACCAATGGCTCGCCGCAGTCTGCAACAACTGCGGCTACCAGTTAGACAACAGCAGCTCCATAAAATGTCGCGAAGAAACACCAGCCCCCAGAAAAAAAAAAGGCGGTGAAATAAAAGAAAACCACATTTGTTTTTTTCCTCTCATTTCATTGTAATGATGGAAATAAGGGCATCATTCTGAGATTAGTGCTGCTATTTCTCCCCGACTGACGTTAAGCTTTATATGAGCGCCTGCTGAAGAGCTTTGGAGGAACAATGGAACATCAGTCTGCTGAAGAGCACAGCGGCTTAGGTTAAATAAAAATGGTGTTGCAGCCTGGTACAGTTGAAAAAAAACTCTAAATTATATTGTGTATATGAACCAGTGCTTACCTTAACTGGTAAGTTATCAATTGGCATAGTGTTCAATAACACAGTCTCCACCCTGAGGAGCTTCAAAATCTATACCCTCACTATCTGTACAGCATACTATGACATGTACAGTAAATGCCCTAAATTCAAATGAGAACTAATCAGAAAAACAGAAGACAGACATTCATGGCCCCCAGAGAATAAACACTACCCACTTGAGTGGTTTCCTCCATTGGCACTAGCAGGTTAACATTTTGTTTTTTAGTGAATTTTTTATAACTTTGTAGCAGAACACCACACAAATTGGTTAAGATATTCTCAGAGGTTCTCAGAGGATATATCCCAACAACTGTTTAATTATTCTGCTGACTACAGTAGGCTCTTCTGTGGCGCAATGTAAAATGTGATTCTGTGTGTGAAATATCTGAACTGAAGCTGTATATAATATTCTGATCACTTCCAAATAGTCTTTAATATATTTAGCCTTTTTAAGAGAGGACAGCAGGAGAGAGACGAGGAGTGTAGAGAGAAGTGCTATGGAACCCCATGCATCAAAAGGTTGCAAGTGGAAAAATTAAACAAGCAATCAGTTCATTGAGGACACTGCCTCTGAGCCTGCTAAGCTAGTGCCCCACAAATGTTTTTGGGTCTTTTGAGTTCTATTATATAAACATGAACCTGTGTTAATAACTGAAACACAAAGATAATTACATGGTCTATATTGAATTACAATATCACCATCTTCATCAACATACTTGACTTGTTTAAAAAAAGAATCAGACATAACACAAAAATCACAGAACATCTTTATTTTAGGCTACAGCATGACTGAGGATCTGTTTCACAGAGCAAAGACAAACTGTAGACACTATTGATGAATTTTACTAAAAAAAAAGTGAGAGTCCATTTAGATTCCTCTTTAATACTACACAACAATTCGAAATATACATTATGTACATTTGCTCTGAGCGGGGGAGCAGCTGTTCCCTGCCCACATTTTACACAGATGTTATACAAGCTGAAAGAGAGACAGAGTGTGAGAGGAAAAATATCTGAGGATAGACTTTAAAACAGAAAAGATGGTGAGAGAAAGTGCTAGACGGTGAGAATAACATTTTGTAGTGAACAGTATAAAATTCAAACAGTGTTGGTCATAAAATAATACTCCAGTGGCTAGATAAGCAGCTGCAGACGGCAGAGCAGAGAGGTAAGTTCAAAGAGATTCTGTAACTGTATCAAAATTGCCCCGAGCATTGCACTGCAATGCACACAGTGCAAAAATAACCCCAAATATAAGATATCACAGTATTTAGACAAGCAGAACTGGGTGATCCAGTGGGATGAGAATTAAATGTCCGTCAACATACCAAATATCTGAGGAAAAATGTAACTGTAGTTTCATCATGAGGTAAAAAAAAAAAAAGTGTATGGTTGAAAAATGAAATGAAGAATGGATTCTGGTAGGATAAAAAACAAACAAACACTGACAACTGTAACAAAAGTAAATATTGATCCAACAGTGTGGTCAGTTTTGGTTACCTTACATGTAGTGCTGAAATCATGGGCTTTGTGTTTCAAGTAAAAAGGGAAATGGTTGAAAAAGAAAAACAATAGGTTAACCAAAACTCTGCACTCTCTTGCACTGTCTCTTCAATGACACTTTATCACTTTATGTATCCTTACTATAGTGTGTCTTTACTCTGTCCTCTTTCATTGGACTTGGAAATGTCCGAGTCATAACAAAGCAAAAAAGCGCAAACCCGACAAAAGCGTACCTAAACTTTGAACAATCATGCACTTATTACTTATCAATCGTCCTGGAAACCGCACATTATTTGCATTGTTACACAAAATCTTGCAGTGCCTCATCCTACCTCATTTCACTCCGGCCTCTCAGCCCAGACTACGGAGAGAGTTGGCTTTGTCTCTCGATACTGATCTAAGGTCAGTTTTAGCATCTCCACCATGCAGAAGGTGAGCGGAGGATGGTAAATATGATTCATCTAACGCAATAGGGGGGGGGGGGGGGGGGGGGGGGGGGGGGGCACGTGTCGACATACAGTATGTTAATTCGACTGCAGATCTGTGCCTGAGGGCAAGGCCGTAGTCTCTCCTGAGCATAGTGGGATAAGGGGCACTGGGGTGTGTACATACGTGTGTGTGTGTGGTGTGTGTGTGTGGGTGTGTGTGTATGGTAACATCACAGTCTACTTTGCTCCCTCTCCATCACTGGCCTTCCTCCTCGCGTAGGAATTGGAAGACGGATGAGAAGTCCTTGTTAGCGTAGCCTCGGGAGCACATGACTCTGAAGATCTGGTGGGCGAGGGAGCCCAGAGGGATGGGTGTCTTAGTGTTGGTGGCAGTGTTTTGAGCCAAACCAAGATCCTAGAAAAGCAGACACACACAGAGAGTAAGGGGCAGAAAGTCAGATAAGTGGACTGAAATCATTATAACCTCTTTTTGTTTAACTAACACCTGACTTAAGTGACTGTAAGAAAGTGACTGTTTATCCCATTACTATCAGGTTTCTTTCATTTGCTGTGTGTGATAGGAGGACCCTGGCTAATGAATGCAAGGCACACAATGCCAGTGTATTAATAGACACCCAGATGAACAGACCGACTTATACAGACGAACTAATGCAGTGTCAATAAAATTTTGGTTACACAATAGGTCACAGATGGACTGGAGGAGAGGAAGCAGATACAAAAGAACAGTTACAATTGAGACAAAGCAAATTACAGGGTCGAGAGACTGACAAACAGAGGCTTAAGGAAAAGGAAAGAAGAGAGTTTTAGCTTCAATAATTTCTCGATAAGAAGAAAGAAAATGAAAAAAGACTATATCGTAATTATAAAGGATCTTTAAGAAACTTTGCTTCAAGGTTCTCTTATCTAATGATTGTACACTTCTCCATGTTTTAATCCGTGTGGAATATATCTTGAGATTGACTCCACAAGGGACATTTTCTGGGTGTTTTTTTTAATAATTTACCAACTTTTATAGACTAAGCAGACAGAACAAAGCTTAACATTACAAAGGGATTAAAACTTTAGTCAACAATATACACATTTTTAGATCAGCCCTATATAGAGAGAGTCACAAGTGATCCTCAAAAAAATTACACAAAGACAGGGATAAGGGAGTAACCTTTGCCATTAGTGTGGTTCCAAAGCCGCCCTGGTAGCTGTTGCCTGAGGGGACTCCCTCCATGACACCAGGGACTGGATTGTACGTGTCGCTGGACCAGCAACGACCTGAGGACATGTTGAGGATCTTTGCTAGTAGCTTGGGATCCAAACCAAGTCTGAGAAAGCAGGAGAAGAAATAAATTAGTATCTCTTTTACAATGTTACGATTCACTTAGCAGACGCTTTTATTCAAAGTGACATACTTTAAGAGCAAGTACAACAGTAATCCATTCATACACCGCCCCGAGCAATGCAGAGTTAAGTGTCTTGCCCAAGGACACATCGGACATGTTGCTCAGCTGGAGATCGAACCCTCGACCTACTGGTTGAGAGGCGACGACTCTACCAACTGAGCCACAGCCACCTTTTGGACCTGGACAAATCACAACATCATTTTTACTCTTCTTTCACACTGGCTCTGCTGGTATTAAAGTTCAGTGTGTGTGTTTGTCAGGAAAAGAACAGGCAATAAGAGTAGGATAGGAACATAGATTATAGAATTAATTTTACAAACAGCAAGATGAATAACATGAAAAAAGATGGCTTGTGGGGTGGCTGGTGATTGTAGTGACCCCCGTTGAACCTTATGCTGGGCTGTGACCATTCCTCAGTGTTAATGGCTCAAGGCTTTGTAATGTCGGCTAATGCAGTATTGATGTTTACCAGCACATCTATCCTTCATCATCCCCTCTTTCATAGAAAAACGAAAGTGGAGGAGGAAAAGTGGTTAACAGCACAGGGGAGCCATAAACCTCGCTGTCACGTATAGAGAGGTGCAGGCTCTCACTTTTGCTGCCCCATTTTGCTGCAACCCACTTTCATATGCGAGAGGAACAAATCTCCAGGCTGTGATAAGACGAGGGAAAAGCAAATGAGACAAAGAGAGTGTAGACAGAGGCAGGCCAGGGAGTGAAACAAAGTGCAAACCATTACAGTAGAGAGGGTGTAACTCTAGCGCCTGTGTCTGTGCAGTGCAGCTTTTGTATATTAACGATTTAAAAGATAGTGTAAAGCTGCCCACATCAAGCCCTGGCTGTCTCAGCTCACTGTTACTTACAGGCCTGTAACTCTATTCTGCTCTCAATATGACTATTAAACCATCATAGGTCCTTAAGGCCAGGACTCCCCCTCCCTCCCTCCCTCCACCTGGCTCTCATTCTGCCATTATAACCACAGTTTTTATTAGCTGTCTACTAACTAATTAAGAATGGGAATTGCATTTACACTCTCTCCATGTCGCTCCCTCTGCCCTTTCTCTTCGTCTCTTTTGTGTCCGCTCTGCCGCACTCGTGTTTCTTTTACAGACTGTTTTGGAAATGTGGCATAAGTGACACTGCATGCGTGCATGTGTTTGAGTGTAAACATGTGTTTCAGCCTCCAGTCTCTCTGATGATGGCTTTTTTTAGTCTACGTCTGTAAGCATCCTTCCCCGTCCTGCTTCTCCTTTCCTTTTCCTCTTCCTCCCCCCCCCCGTCCTCCCTGCTGACACCTCCCTGTCTGAGGACTCTGGGGGACATATGTTTGACATCGTGCACAAAAACCCCCTTCTCTCTGCGCGTACGCACGCACACACAGGCAGGCAGCCCCTCCCTGCGTTCTGGGTCAGCAGCTGAAAAGGTTACTAGCTGAGCTACAATAAAGCGCGTCCGAGCGCGCAGATCGTTTGTTATAGCGACCAGAGACGCTGACGGGGAGCTGTTGTCCTCTGTTAACGATAAATCAATGAAGTTCCCCTCCTGCTTCCATCACACACATGCATGCACACACAAACACACACACACAGTGGTGGTTATTAACCGACGCAGTGGTGTTGTTCCTCGCCTGCAGTAATTTGCGTGGAGAAGAGGACATGTCACGGTTTAACAAGATTGACATGGATAAACACACAACGACACGGACAGTGAAACAAACGTGTTGCTGTGCGATGCCTCCGCAGATTAAAGAAACGTGAGCGGGAAAGAGAAGAAGATGAAAATAAGAGGGGAGGGTGTTAATGTGCTGGGGAGCTGTAGCAGGTGGAGTATATTTGCTGCTCTGATATTAACTGTCTGTTTCAGTGCGATTAGCTCCTCGTCCTCGTCGGATGCCACAGGAGAGGAAGCCAAACCCGGTCCCCATTTATTATTACATTACAGAGCTAACGAGCACGTATACACACACACGAGCATTTAGTGTCTCATTTATAGACACTACGAGCGTGTTTATCACCCGACTTTAATCTTCATCACAACATATGCTCACAATTCATTTAAGGGCAAGAGAGATGTGTGTCTGCACGTGTGTGGGAAAGCTATTTCTGTCTGTAAATACAAAGGGTCGTGTCTTGTTAACCCCTTTGATTCGCCTGTTGTTATCCCCATAAAAGGAGTTAAGGAGTAAATATGTGTGTTCCTACTTTAGCTTCAATGACAGTCACTTCAAGCAGTGTATGCATGAATGGGTGCAGGTAAACAGGCATGTAAAGTGAACCATGAGCTGTGAAAAAAAAAAAGCCTCATGTCCCTTCCGGGGCCAGTCGCCTCTCTTTCCTCTTCTTCCTCTTCCTCCATCTCATGTGCATCATTAAAATCACTGCTGCCTCTCTATTCAATACTCTGTAGATCCCATCCACCCTTCTCACTGGTTGGTTGGATTGCAGAAATAACAGCAGGCAGAGGAGAAATGAAGGGATTAAAATAAGAGAATTAAATGAGGAGGTAAAGCAAATAGGGATGAGGAAGAAAAGTCAAAAGAGATGGATAGAGAGGATGCTAAAAAGGCAGGGTGTGTGTGTGTGTGTGTGTGTGTGTGTGTGTGTGTGTGTGTGTGTGTGTGTGTGTGTGTGTGTGTGTGTGTGTGTGTGTGTGTGTGTGTTCGTAATTGTCATGCGTGGCCATTCCTAGCACTAAGAGAACGTCACGCTCTGATGGAGACGGCCCGGGCTTCCATCTGAGATCAACAAATTAGCTCAAAGAACAGAGCTGTGTGTGTGTGGGGGGGGTCTGTGTTTGTGTGTTCGCAGCCTGTACAGGTAAGGAGAAACACACACACACATGGCGCACTGACATATTGGAAAGAAAGGGCAGCTCTATCAGGCCCAAGTCCAGCATGATAAAATGTTATTGCCGTTTTCCTGTAAATTGGCTGTGAGTGCTCAGTCTCCTTTGTGTCAGACTGTTTCATGTGTCTGTGTGTGTGTGTAAGTGTCAGTAACACACACACACACACACACACACACACACACACACACACACACACACACACACACACACACACACACACAACACACACACACACACACACACACACACACACACCACACACACACACACAACACACACACACACACACACACACACACACACACACACACACACACACACACACACACACACACGCATAAGAGTGCGTCTTCTCTGCATAAGAGACAGGGCCGCAATGCAGCATGGGAGATTTACGGGTGTGGGCTCTCTCTAAACGATGACAGTCTTTGTCAAACCCCATAATAAAGCCCCAGAGATTGGCTGGTAAGAAGCTGGGAAACAAGGAAGCGCACACACACACACACGCACGCACACACACACACACACACGCACCGTGCATGTACACACGCACACAATCAAGATTGAAACTCAGTTTTGCAATGATATAAACTAAAATCCACATTTAAAGTGAAAGCATGCAGTCCTTAAAATCCTCATTTCATTTGCATACATTATAATGATGTGCACAGTAAGTGGAGGTTTTGGTACTTTTTTTTTGTAGAAAACGGCTGTCCTCAGTGCCTGTGGATGTAAATCTGTGTGTGTGTGTGTGTGTGTGTGTGTGTGTGTGTGCGCTTCAGAGACAGTGTGGCAATGTGTAAATCTGTGTTGCTCCCTTAATGCCTCCATATTTCAGAGGCCTAGTGGGGGGATTTATGTGTGACTGCTCATGCCAATTTTCCTCTTCTGTCTCAGCACAGATAAATCTGCAGCACTAACACAGCTGCACTGTGAGAGGGGCAATTCTTGTACGTGAACACACTCATACACACATTATACTGGGTGCACACATCTTTGGAGTAGCAAAACCTGTAAAAAGACACTATAGTGACCCAGTAAACAGAGCAGTGTGCACAGATGATGTTTGTAAATTGAGTAAATAATCAATTCAAACGGCTATGGTTAAAAAAAGAATCTGATAGTTAGTTTCAATTTCAGAAAAAATTAATATGTAGGCATCCCGTAGAAAGCTAAATTCACTGACCTAAACCTTTTAGCCTGTCTTTTACATATCTTTAGAACATGTTTTGGTTAAACTCAAAAGACACTATATCCCATCATCCTCAGCCATTAGGCCAAAAAAGGCTTTGTGCATAAACGAGGCATGATGAATTATGGGATTTCTAGGCGGTGTTCAGTGACAGGGTTGTGACAGGATTCTGCTGAGAGCTCAATCAGCAGATGTAAATCAGAGTCCATGGCTCCGCCCACTCATCTATCTCTTGCGGGCAGAGGCGGTTCCTGACCCCTTCACTCTCTCGCGCACAATCACTCACACACACACACACACACACATTTCCAAACGAGTATTAAAGTAGTAAATAACTGCCAATGTTTCAGTAATATCAGTGGTATAGTAATTGCTTTCAAAGTGACGGCTGAATCTAAGGGCCAGCTCAAGTCATATTCACGCATGGCTAAAATGTGAAACCCTTAATGTGCTTTTATAGGTTCATGGTGCTTTTAGTTCTAATAACCACGTGTCAAAAAATTGTGTTGAGTTTTTTTCTGTGAGGATAGTGGATTGAAACAACTTATTTGAGTAGTGGCTGACAGTACCTGATTCCAAGATTCATGGTCTCTGCAGTGCCAATCATCCCGATGGCCAGGAGCATGTTGTTGCAGATCTTAGCCGCCTAGAGACGATAGACCAGAAAGTGAAAAAAAGGGAATTTAACTGTGTGAAAATGAGGAGAATTCTAACACTGCCTTTAACAACATTGAAAAGGTATTTCATCTTTGGTTCAGACTAGTGAATAAGCCAAACAGTTGTAAAACAGTACGATACACTAGTATATTTTTTCAAATTAGTAACAGCTTAATATCCATAAACCTTAGGTTCATTAAGTTTCAGGAAGATGGTCTATTGCTCTGTGGTAAAAATCGAAATGTTTTTTTTTTTTATGTTATGTTATTTAGCTATGCTTTAGGACAGTATATCTCATATTTTGTAGATTTTTGTGTGGATTTTATACTTGTACTTTTAAGTGAAAAATCCCTCTTCAGGAGTTTGCTCCTTTGGAAGTATGACATTCTCAAGTTGTGCTTTTAAGTGGTGCATTTATGCAGTATGTGGTAGGTAAATACAGTCTGTATTCAAGTTACTCAAATGTATGAAACTCTGTCCATGTGAATAAAGATCATTTCATTACTCCTATCATTAAAGGCAAACCACTTCCAAGGCAACAAAGCAAGCTGGAGGCAATGTGACCCAAACAGATGAATATTATGCCTATCTATCTCTTCTGAAGAACACTTTTGGATAGTTATTTCCGTACTGAAGGAGGTATTTAGGGTATAGAATCATTGCGTTAGCACTACTGACCCAACCAAGACATAGCCAGTGGTTTTGAATAGTACAGGAACATTTGGAAAAATGACCTATTCTTTCAAAATAAAACAGATGAGTTAGAAAAAAGTTGGGATGAAAAGTGATATTTTTTAGAGAGAACACAACTAGATGTAGACTAAAACTACCATTTTGGAGATAGCAGCTAAGTTTTGATGCCATGTTTTAGTTTGAATTGTTATATATGGAGGAATTTAGTTTAAAAAAAAAAAAAACGATTTTTTGAGCAAAGATGCTATATATGAATCAGAGAGGTTTGTAGCATGTTTCTTTTACCTGTCCTGTTCCAACCTGTCCACAGTAGACAACATTTGCTCCCATGCAGGTGAGCAGCTCCTGAGCAGCGTTGTATTCCTCTTCCACTCCACCCACCATGAAGGTCAGTTTGGCCAAGCTGGCAGCCCCGACACCTACAAACACAGCACATGTTCAGACATATCGTTGAAGTTTACTGAGGTGAACACACACGTTTTATAATGGTACAAACACAATATATAGTCCGAACCAGACCTGTAATACATTGCACATTTTATAGGAGGTTAAAATGAGAGTTACATTTAACAAAACTCTTCGTACTGTATCTTAGCAAAAGTCAACAGAAGTTGATAGCAAACTAAAATGTATGTGATTGCCTCTTGAAAGAACACAATATATCAAATTCTTAAGCATTTCAACACAACCAGCTGTGTCACAAAGGTCAGTTGTGCACTTTGTGTGTTAGTCTCATAGTAGGACAGGAGTGTTAAATAGTGCTGCACCAGAGGGACAGAGGTATCTTTAAAAGGCGATTGTTGCCATCATCCACTACACAACCCTCGTGGGAGCTTTCGCCTTTTGTCCTGTCACCCTTACTCTCTCCGTCTCGCACACACAAACACACACAAAGACGCACATGCACACACCAACAGCTGTGCCTGAGGCCAGCCCTCCTCATGGGGGTATCAGTGACAGGCGTGAGGGGTAATTAACTTTACACTTTATCATGTTCAATTAGGCGTCCCTCCCCATGCCTGATGGCTTAAGAAGCGTGCCATGTTGTAGGAGGCAACCACACCCCCAGCCCCGCCACAGGGTCCTTAATGCAGAAATAATCCCCTTTCAGGGTGACTTGGAACCAGTTAGCTTTAAGTCCCCTCTGCAATTCAAGTGTCCCTAAAATGTTTCATTGAATAGCCTTAGAAAAAGAACACTATTACACCTAGTATTCTACACCCCCTCCAAAAGGAGACAACAAACAAAAGTGTTTTCCTCAGGTATGATAGTACTCAAAAAAAGTAAGTAAGTTAAAAACCGGCTAACTTGCATGCAAAGAGGCAGATTTTTCTAGTTAAACTAAGGTAGAAAAGGAAAAGGAGGGGAAGTGAGTTCAATTTGTCTTTAGGGTGTCGTCTAGCTCTAATGAAAGGGCTCTTTATAGTGAAAGCCTAATAATGTCGCTGTTAATAATTAAAGAGAACTGCTGGGGACAAAACAGCTGAAATACCATTATCAGACATAGCTGGAGAGGAGAGGAGAGGAGAGGAGAGGACAGGAGAGGACAGGAGAGGACTCTTATTGTATATTTCAATGACTCAAAAACATAAATATACATCTCTATCCCCCTCCACTTTCTTTAATTGGCTGTTCTGTTGTCAAGTGTATGGTGATGCCACTGCACTGTTGGTGTGTGTGAGTCAGTGTTGGGCTGTCAGCAGGTCGTTAGGGCCACATAATGAAGGCCGAAGCCCACAATGCTGCAGCTGCCTGTGGACAAACACACGCCTAGCATACAGCCGCCAAACACTTATGGGAAAAAAGACGAAGGATTTTATACACTTATCCCCCTTCTTGTTCCCTTCTGTAGTCTTTTTTCTCTCTCACTTTCACATCTAACCTCATTCTTTTGAGTATATTTTTCAAGTCTTTACTTCTTGCCAGAATAACTCAGAATCTGTGTTAGCCAATATGAAGCTCCGATATGGTAACACCTACTGTTTGTGATGTGTCATGTACAGTGCTGCAGTAGCCATAGAACTTTTCATCATCATTTACAGGAGAAAAAAAAGACATAAATAAAAAATAAAAACTTAGCAAGAGCGCTATTAGTTTGAGCTATTAGCTAGTTTTATAAGTTTAACTAATGGTATCCTTATTGCTTAATATTTAATTTACTAGTTCTCAACTTTCAGTCTGAGGTCTTCTCACAAAAACAAACCAACACACACACAAGCGCACACAAACACAAACATATCGGCATAGAAAGAATGTCAACTGTGCTGGTTCATTAGTGGAGATCACTGCTCGCAGACGACTAAAGAGGAGATTATTGATAATATAGTCAACGTTCTGATCAATATATGTCACTAGAAAGAGAGAGAGGGAGAGATAGAGGGGCGAGAGAGCTGCAGAGAGAGATGTAGAGAAGACAGCAGGGAAGGAAAATGATCCTCCTCTGCCTACCTCCCGGCTTCCCTCCCAACTCTCCCTCCCTCAAATTAACTAATCACCCATAATAAGCTCTTATGATCTGTAGTGGATTTCTATAGGCAGTGACACCGGGATGATGGAAGATCCAAGTAGGTGGAAGAAAAGCACATCATTAGCATAACAATGTGTGTGTGTGTGTGTGTGTGTGTGTTTGTGTGTGTGTGTGTGTGTGTGTGTTGGGGGTAACAGTGAGTCTCTTCATTGTACATGCACAAAAATTTCTGTGTGTGATGTGTAATTTTATGGAAGTGCCAATGCTACTGTGTGTGTGTGTGTGTGTGTGGTGTGTGTGTGTGTGTGTGTGTGTGTGTGGTGTGTGTGTGTGTGTGTGTGTGGTGTGTGTGTGTGTGTGTGTGTGTGTGAGGGGACGTCCCGTTCGCGGACTGGTCCTGTCAGAGACGGATTAAAAAGGAATGCTAATGAGGCTTCCCGAGCTCCGGGTCCGCCGGCTCATCCATCCCAGCGGGAGTGACAGTCCTGGATCGTTAGCACTGCACAACTACACAACGCCCCCTAGGGGGGGGAGACAAGACGTGTGTGTGTGTGTGTGTGTGTGTGCATGTGAGTGTTGGGTTTTGGGGGCTCATGATATAAAATACAAGGTAGAGAAAAAGAGTGTAGGTGGGATTTCAAATACTAAAAAAGACGTATGCAAAATAAAAAGTTATTTGCATAATGCAACAAATGAATACATCTTAGCACTCATTTATAATTAGTTTTTTCTAATCAATAATAAATAAATAAAATAGTGTGTGTGTGTGTGTGCATGTGAGTGTTGGGTTTTGGGGGCTCATGATATAAAATACAAGGTAGAGAAAAAGAGTGTAGGTGGGATTTCAAATACTAAAAAAGACGTATGCAAAATAAAAAGTTATTTGCATAATGAAACAAATGAATACATCTTAGCACTCATTTATAATTAGTTTTTTCTAAATCAATAATAAATAAATAAAATATATTTATGAAGCACATTTAAAATCAGCAACAGCTGATATAAGCTGTACATAAAAAGTAGAGAAGAACAATACAGTCAAATTTCAGAGGGTTGAAAAACATCAGTGCAGACAACAGACACACACAACCAAACAGAAAAAAAAGGAATATTAAAAGGAATAACAATGATGATACAACGTCAACAAGACTAAAATAAATACATAAAAAAGACTCCTAATTAGAACCCAGAAGCCAATATGTAAAAAATTTTAAGGCTGGATTACTATATAATCAGCATAATAGAATGAATACAAGAATCATAGCACATACTGCCAATTCTTTGAGGAAAAAACAGTACATTCTGAATAAATAGCAAAGTTCTGCTCTTCTGTTGAGCAGGCAATATTGTTATTGGAAAATATTTCCCTTAAGAAAAGACCACCTCTCTCCTCGGTCACTTCCTCTCATCCAGCTTCAGGTGAAGTTTTGGTTGGTGAAAAGTAGTGGGTGCCCACCTACTCATCGGACACACATATATCAGAGGCAGGCTTGAGCCTATTGGACTAATGATGAAACAGTCTGTGGCGTATACAGTGAATAGAGCAAGGTATAGTAAGAGGAGAGGAGAAAAGAAGGTGGCTTCTATAATATGCATGACTTTTGAGGAGGCACCAAACTGTGTGTCGATCTGTGTTAGCATGGGTGGCTGTGTGTGGCCCGCAAGTTAGCTTCTGTTCAATTACAAACACATATCGACATCTCCTTCATCTGATCTCCTCCATTAACAAGGTTCAAGTTAATGAGCAGGCAATCAGCCACTATTAGGACAGATGCTTAACAGCCGGCTTTGACGACAGGCATTAACTGTGAACATAAGAGGGTGATTTCTGTTGTGTGAAGGGAGAGGAAGATCAGAGGAATGACTTTGGTTTGGCCTGTTTGTAGTGAACACTGAATTCATTAGCACTTCTTTCATTACACACGAAAGACTCAACCAAAGCAATGACAGCCCTATAACCTCTGCAACTTTTTTTTGAAGTGGTGTGTGCGTGTACAAAATAAGTGTGAACGTCTGTGAACATATGCATGCAGGATCTGTGTGTGTGTTCCTCGGTTTGAAAGTGTGTGTAGCAGGGACAGGTGCAGATCCCAGAGCAGGCCGCCAATAAGACGTCTCTTAGAGCTTCTGAGGCCGCATGTCTTAAAGTTACGAGCAGCATGTTAGCCAGTATGCACTTTTTATGGGTGGTGAGTTTAAATTAAACTACATTTGTGAATATGAGGCTGCGCAAACAACACACACACACACACACACACACACGAAAAAAGGGATGTTCTCAGAGTTCGGTAATGAATGACGCATTTGACAGCATGCCACAACCCTGCTTTTTCCCCCCAGAGAGTAAACGGAAAAACACTCGAAGCAAAACAACACCTCTAATATCGTTAGAGCTCTTCCAAACACCTAATTTCCTAAAATGATAATGTTCCCGTTCTTACTTCAAGAAACACCAGAAATCATTTCACACCTTCTCGTCCAAACGTGGTCGGTGTAAACAAACTCTAGTGTTGGCAGAATTTAACACTGCTTGCTACTATGTTTTTAACTATATGCACATGTAAGGTTAAAGTTTTGGCTCGGCTGTATTCATCCATTTGGACTTAAAAGAGCCTTTACACTTACATGTAGCCTTGAGTCAACAGGAGAAGGCTGCTTGCAGAGAAAGTCAGTAGGGGTAGTATGTTTACAGGCCAGCATCGCAGCCTCCTGTGGCCCAGCATTATAATAACAACCATAGGCAGATTTTTCTCAAACAAAATATAAAAAAACCCATAAAAACAAAAGATATTGAGTACATAAAAGAAACACTATGAGGGTGCATTTTGACCAAGACTGCTTTAAAAAAAAAAAAAAAGGCACTTTCAACAATTTATCTGCCAACTTCACTAATGCTCCTCTGTTGTGTTAAAAACAGAGTCTTTATCGGCTATAGTTAACGAGAGCAGTGCC